TACTTGTGGGAAAGAATGTTTAGCAGCAGAAGTATCACATTGGTGCTTTTTATGACTTCTGTGAGTCAAATTGTCAAAACAAAAAGTTACTGAAGAACACAGAGAAATCAAGAATTATTATAAGTAATTTGGGATATAGGAATTTGCTAAGCTTTTTCCACTTCTGATATAGTTAAGGGTGCTGTAGAGAGGGATGAATTATTCTTACAAAAACATATAAATGACAAATTAATAGTTCAGGTGATGATAAAATAATCATTCTGCTCTGTTTATATTACCCATTCTTACTTTGAAGAGATGCTTACACTTAAAAAAAATCAGAATTAACAGAAGTTTTATGGAGAAAAATGAAATAAAAGATAAAATTTTAATTAAAGTTTTTATAATATGGCCCTCTGAGTTAGCATTTCATATCTGCATCTAAAAAGATAAATTTATTTGCCTGATGACAATGAAGAGGTGTCTTATGGTTTAAATGTCTGGTCATTTCTTTAGGTATGGAAAACAAAGACAGGATCTAAATTGTGACATCCATATTACACAATGTTCTTCTAAAATTAGATTCCAGTTGGATTACTGAAAATCCAAAAGATTTGGATCAAATCCATAAGATTTGAAGAGAAAAAAGCAAGCATTTCAAATTTTACTTGACAGGAAAAAGAAAAGCATAATATACACGTGCACACACACATGCACATAGACATGCACACACTGTAGCATTGTCTATATATACACATATATATATGTACATGTGTCTATATATGTGTATGTATACACAACTACACCCTTTATGCAACCTAGTGTAAGATTTCCTAATGTAATCAGCAGGGAGGTCCTTCCTATTTTGGTCTCTGCCAGAATGGCATCTCTATACTTCCTGATGTGTAATCAAATTTCAGACATTCCTGTAACACCCTTTGTGTAAAATAAAGTCAAAGAAGATTTCTATATATCAGATGCTGTGTGTTTGGGCATTTATAGTCCAGTGGAATATTCTAGTGCTGTCAGAGGCAAAATGTTTAGTGTAGGAGTAGAATGGGTAACAACTTTGTGTTGAAATCTTTCTTTCAAGACAAATTTAATCTAGTTGCTTTACTGAATGCCACTTCCACACATGAATTGGATAATTAGTAATCTCATTAGGAAAAAGTCTTTATTTTATGCGGATTGTACCCAAGAGAAAAAATATCACTTAAAAGCCTCATCTCCTCCTCCTGTGCCCCTTGTCCCCAGAATCAAAACAAAATGAATCAAAGCAAAACAACCCTCCCAAACAAACAGACAAACAATAGAATTATTTTGCAATAGTGTTTTAAGTTTTCTGGGCAGAGCAAGAGGGAGGAATAAACCTTGGTTTTGATTAGAAGTTGGGTGTTTGGAAGACTAATTTCCACTGACTAGCATCCTAAAAAGAGGGATCAGTGTAAGTAGACCTCCTCCCCCAAAAATAAATTATTACTATTCCTTTTCAGACTAAAAATAAAACATTTTAAATATATTGTTTATACCTTCATCAGAACAACATAAGTATTCTATCTGGCCGATAGGTTCCAACAATCTTTTTGGGCTTAATTTAGCATAATTTCAAAATAAAAAAAATGAAATGTGAAATTTTGCACATAACGATGTTCATAGAGACCACATAAAGTAATAAAAAAAAATAATTCACAGACTGTTAGCCATATATTTCAACTTTTTCTCACAATTTGGAACTGGTGAGAATTGAAAAAAACAGTTTCCTTTTAGGAATAATATTTTTCATTCCTTGTTAAATACAGATGTGCTTGCATCTTTTGCAGGTTTTAAGAAAATTTAGTTTTGGATTATGTACCATGAGTGAGAAAGGAATCAGGTAAAACTAAAAATGTGTGCTCAGTGAAAATCTTGATTGTATCTTGCCACTGACCAAGCCAAACTTTACACTGATTTCAGACTAGAGTGTGGCTTAAAAATCTCTGGTATGTTATAGAACTTGCACAACCTGAAAGGCTTTTAGTCATATCAAGGTTTTCAGTTCCCTGACTTCAAACACTTTTCTTCATCCGAATTTCTGACTTGGAGTAAAGATTAAGAATTTCATTTAAAGTCTATGAATTTTTGTGGCATTTTGTTTCTTATTCCTGCCGCACCTGCATTGATATAAGATTACTGTTTTTTGAGTGACAAAAAGTTGAAAAGTTATGGCTAGTTTTATTTCTATTTTAATAACCATACCTATGTAATTGTCATTTTCATACATTAAAAAAATATTTATGCTTTCTTTTATATTTTAGTCAAGTACTTTCTTAAACAAAACAATAGCACCACTTTGGCATTGTTGGCCAAATCAGTAACAGGTAAAGCAAATATGCAAATATGCTTTTCTGATCTTGTCATATCACACACTTGCTTGTTGAATGGAGAGCAAGAAGACACAGTGCTTGGCCTAAAGTCTTCATTAATCAACTTTAACCATTGGTACTGGGAGAACAAGGAGCTCAGGGGGCAACTGAGCATGGCTCCTAGCTGTGTGTGGAATTCACTTCTATAAAGAATTACCACTAATTCACCCTTCAGTCTTACCAAAGTAATCGACATGGTGAGCTGCCTTGGGAAAAAAGGGGACCTATTTTCATGTATCTACCAGGACTGGATGCTTTGATTTTCTTGTCTCTCTTGGCTGAATGGTGCACATGAGCTCATAGAAGTCCTTAGTGGAAATGGAGGTGTGGGTTTATAACTACATCTTGAGAAGAATAAAGGATTTATTAATTATCCGTTTAAACTCTTAATGACTAACTACGTTTACTATGAAGATGAGAATTAAATTTTGCTACCTTGATGAAAGAGAGATAGTAACTTCAGTGTGTTTAGATCTGCAGTGCTATTTGGACTGACTGAAAATGAGGCTTAATTCACTTTTTACTTATGCATTTCAGTGATATTCTGTGTAATAGTTGGAGTTCTAAGTCTATTCTAGAAAGCAAAGATCTGTGATCTGTCATGTAACTTATACAATAGGGAAGGGTGAGAAATGGGCTTTTCTTTACCATTTAAGTGACTTATGAGAATATACAGCATCTGTTGGGAGCCCTGTTCCTAAACATCTGGAGTGCTTTTAAAAGTCCAGTTGAACCTTTCAATTTATTTAATTAGAAGTTTTTCAAGACAGGATGCTTTGTACTTTTTGGAGGAAGGTGCTTTGGCTCACACTTCAACTTCTTTAAGTAGCAGATTTTATTGTGATTATTAAGCTCATGCAGCCCTTTATCTTTCACACTAACTGGTTTAAAATATGCTCCCTGCCATATGACTGGAGACTTCTTATGCAAAATGCATTCCCCATCCATGCATTTCTCACCTCTGTGCGGCTGGAGCTACTTTCCATTTTGTGGTATCATTTATTCTCTAGTAAAGCAAAGTGTTGCCTTTGAAGTTTGCAGCTATTCAGTATTTATTTTGTTGCTTTCAAGAATTGTTCTAATTTGTTTAGATAGTTGTCAAATTGTGATAAATATTTCTGTCTCAGAGTGACATTTTCTAATTATGGTTTTTCAGCAGCAGTAATACAGTGGCATGAATGTGAGTGTGTGAATCCCAAGATAAGACCAAGAATTTGAATTAATTTACAGGAATTAATGCAAAATGATGGATAGTTATTCAGTTAAAAGCGCATCAGTAAAAAAGTTATCTACAAAGAAACTTGCTGCCACAGATATCTGTAAATTGCTTTCTACGCTCACACCTTTATTCCCTCTTCCCCTTAGAACTTCAGAAGAAACAGGGGACAGAAAGGTTCATGGGGCATGAAATAGAAACCTGTATTATGTCCATTACATCAAAATAATGGTTTGTTCTTAGATTACATTGCAGAATTCTTATAGCCATTAAAATAAAAGTCCTTCCCTCTCCATCCCCCCTGTGAAAAAAAAGCCTGTAGGAGCTGTGACAGGTATCAGAATTGCTAACTCTGTTTATTGAATTGGTGGTAAATAATTTAGATTAGTTTCCACATCTGTTTCTCTTTTCTTCCTTTTTCAACATAACTATCTCAGTCAGTGAGAGCTGTGACATATTCTTTTTATTCATTTACTGTTCTACTTTTACATTGCTATGGCAGCTTATTGTGCATATAGACATCCATCTCACAGAAAGCAGAGGGTTTAAAGAGTTGTATAGGAATACATTGCACTTGTTAAGAATACAAACCGCAAATTTGCTATGGGAATATAAAAGAAACTACAATAATTTGTTAGACTTTTATGACCTTTCCTACTTGTTTACAAGGGACTATTGAGGAGCTGTACATATGTAGTCTGGAGAGAACTTTCTCTTGTGTTGAAGTCAATAGTTACTGACTCCCTTGGTTGCAGTGGAAAGTAAGGCAGATTTGAGCAGCCTTCAAAAGGAGACGCTTCCTTTATAGATCTAATCTACCACCTCCCTAACTGCTCCCTTCATGCACTGTTTTCCAGGCCCCCTTTGGAGCCTGACCAAGAGATGTTTCATCCCTTGCCTGAGCCTAACACAAAAAAAGTTGAATGGGACCACATTTGAGTTCTTGAACAGGGTGGAACAGTGAGTTCTCCTCTACCTTCCCTTCTCCCACAGGTATGTTTAATGCTCACCTTGAGACACTCTTGGCTGCTTATGACCCTTCACTGCTTGGCCAATCTACACTGGGCTGGTTTAAAAAAATGCAGCAGAGGACACGGTGTTATTCAAGGTAGAACCACTGCAGGGCCCATCAAAGTTACATGGCAGGGATTATCTGGGGATCTCTGTCTCCCACAAGAGCACGTGAATGGCAGCTGTAAGTAAGGGTGTAAGGATGTTTTGTTAATCTCTCCTTGAAGACTCATTCTACACTAGTAATTTGGTAATTAGGTTAGTCTTTCTGATTTATAGAGAGATGCAGCAGCCCAGCTCACAGTCAGGTAAGCCACACCTGATCGTGGGAAGAATTAAAATGGAAGGAAACTTGAGTACCCCTTTATGATTGAACAGAATGCTGTTATTTCAGGAACATTTAGGCCCTGGTGGACTATCCTTTGAAGTCACATGAGGGCTGTTTTTCAAATTGTCTTCTCTGGGCGTAGACAACTATGAGTTTGCATTCCACATAATCAGATGTCAAAACACCACCCTTCAAGTATCTAAAAGGAAACAAGTGTCTGAATTTTCTTTTGAAGATGATAAAGTTATTTTCTAGTTGAAATCTGAAGCCATTTTCATTGATTGAAGCTGAATATTTTTGAATGTATTTTCTTATTTAATCTTTGGCTTGGTCTTTCCATATTTGCTTTTACTTATTACTGTTTTGGCCAGACCCTTTCATGTAACAAACTATAAAATAGCACCGTTGTACTATAAAACAGAGATTTTTTTACATACTGTTTGATATATGTGTATTGTTATGCTAAATTTTACATACTGCATTATATGGAGGAAGAAAGAAGTTACCTATATTGTTGCAAAATAATTACCTGGAAGAATCATTACTGGTTTGAGAGCCTATGTATGCTTTAACTGCTTTTAAAAATCTTTTGTCTCACAAATTGCAAAAAAATTGCACGTTTGCAAGAGAAGGAAGAATAAAACTGTCTTAAAACAAATGCATCTATAACCCATATTTTGTCAAAATGCCGCAGATGGAATTAATGGATGTTTAAAACTGTATATGTTACCTTACTGCTGCTGTTACTGGGAATGTCAAACTGTGCAAATATGAAGGGATAGACAAACAATGTTTGCAGACACTGTAAAACAAACAGCCTGTTGCTTGTAAAGAAGTGCAAATAAAAAAACCACCACTTAGACAAGGCTGATGAATGACTCCAGCAGCCAGTGTTCATAGGTTAATTTAGTGCAATTGGATCCATCAAAGGCCCATAAATTTGTAGGCTTTTGAGGGGCACAGGACTTTAAGAGTTTTCGTGCAGGACATTTAAAACAGGTTAACAAACAGTAATATATCAACCACAGAATTTTTTAGCTCTGGGCTGGTTAAAATGTTCTGTTCTCTAAAGACTTAATATTGGAATGTTTAGTTGCATTGTTCACTGGGAGAATGCCCATTGGTTGAAATTGCATCAAGCTTTTTAAAACAAAGGGGTTTTTTTTTTAAGTCTTCCAATGTTTAACAAATAATTTATTTACAGCAAAGTATCCTGCAGATGGCACATTCATTCTTCATTCTTGTGGATGGCATGTTCTTACATTCTGTAATTTCTGTTTCCTGTGTTCCCTCTACTTGTGTTCTTCAAATGCACTTCCTGAAAGTTTAGAAAGAAAAATTTATTACAGGTAGGTTTAAATACATTGTATGCTCACAAAACTTATAATAGTGGGAAAACAGTTGTCTAGAGTTCTGGAACTGCAGATAATTGTGTTTAATCAATAATTCAGTCATCTGCAAAGAACTTAGCTACACAGAACTCCTGTATCTGAAATTCCCTATTCTCTCCTGGACATAAACACTTTGACTGCTGTCATGCTTGATCTGGTAGAGGAGACATCTGCTGCTGGAACTTGAATGGGCTTAGGGATATGGTAGGTACCAAAGATTTCCTTTCTTTCCCAAAGACATTTACAAAAGCAGGATGTATAGGGGCCAGGGAACTTTCTAGTTTTAACTGCAGGATTTATGGAATCTCTTGGGCTATGGTACCAGGTATTTCAAAATTGCTCTGCTAACTACATATTGCACAGATGGCATATTAGGTGTTTTGGATTTTGTTGGATAAGACCTTGAGGAGGAAAAAAATTATGGATTAGCTGGAGGAGCTGCAGCCATATAATTTGGATTTTCAAAACAGACAAGGTGATATGCCAGGCAAATCAAGAGAGCTTTGGAATGAATAATACCCTCAGTTCCCTGTCATTCCACACAGAGGCCAGTCTTCAGCAGCTGTGATGGGGGTGGTATATACATTTCATTTTGATTTCCACATTTGCCACTCTAGTAAATATTAGCCAGGCCCAAGACTCCATATTCTGTATGAGACTAAAGCCAGAAGTTTTAAGTGACTCTCCATATTTATAATACTCATCAGAAGTCAAATTCCTAGTTAAATGAAATGATGGGTTTTTTTCCAAGAAAAGCCAAAAATATGAGAGGAATTATTATTTAAAAAATGTAAAAAATTCGGCAGTACTATTAATTGTTAAATTTATTATACCACCACCAAGTATAAAACATTGAGCCAAACTAGGATTTATCATCACTGACAAGTCAAAGTTGTTAACAGCAAAATAATCATAATGAATAAATGTTTTGCTATGAATATGCCATTATAGACTAGATTAATCATCTAGTCACTATTCCTGTGAGCAGTTCAGAAGGATACTGGCTTGTTCTCATCCAGTTTTGCTAATATTGCTGTAGAATAGCATCAATCAAATACAGAATCAGAAAAGTCAACACAATTCTGCTTATGCTTAAATTAAAATATATTTTGATTTTCATTGCCTGTTTCTCTTCTAGCTTTTCCAAGATGACCTTTGCTATCTTCACCTTTTTCTGAAGTTATACCTTAGTTTTCACCCTGAAGAGCTCAGTCTGTGTGAACCCCTAAATTTTCACTTATTTTCATTAAAATCATCATAGCAGAATTTCAGAGGAGTCTGCCAACACTAAGGATTCTGCATTATTCTACAAGTGCTTATATTGGTTACAATGAGCTAAGAAAACAGGAATTTCTTTACTCATCTGCCCAGTTTGTTTTTTTTTTCTACACAGCAACAAAACAAAATATTCTTCTCAGTGCTGACCCTAAATGCCTTGAAGAGAGTTTAACAGCATATAGGAAAAGCTATATGCTTCATTTTGTCTGCCAATAGTCATATATTCTTAAAAATTATGAACTCTTGATCTACAAAATGGACAGTGAGAGCCTTAAAATGAAACAACAGCCATTTTGCATTGCAGTGATTTTCAAAGTATATTTAGATTGAAAATTAACTCTATGTTTCCCAAATGAAAATGTAAATTCTCTCTGCTGCTGTTGTCTGACTTTGAAATGGATTTATCATTCAAATAAAGCAGGTACTAAGATGCAGGAGTGTTTCACTTACAGATTTTAACACTGACAAGTAGGTGGAAAAAGAATTGTCATGATACAGACTAGCTTTGAAATTGAAGGAAGATGGCAGGTTGCTTTTAAAACACTTCCTTCTCCAGAATCAGCATTTTGAGAAATAGCTACTAATAGTGTACTGGTAGTAGCATGCATGCCAGAAAATGCTTTGACCCACATAACACATTTTTTTTCAAGTATGAAATGCTGAGACCACTTGCAGGGGGGAAGCACAGACCCCCAAACCAGGTGTGACTGGCTTAATTAGGTTCTCAGACCTGCATTGGTACTGGCATAGAAAAGTTTGGTTTGTTTCTCAAGTCTTTGAGAAGAAGGTAATTAGAAATAAAACTGCTCCGAGCTGATATTCAGACCCAGGCAAAGAAAATCTTCAAGATGACAGATGCAAAATGTCAGCAATGTATAAGTCAGCTAAAGAACAGGGAAGCAGACTTCTAGCCCATCACCTTCAGAGTGATTCTTTGTAGTTAAGGCATCATCAACAGTAGGATAACAACTACCTCGGTGATGGTAATGGTCATTTGACTGAGCTGGAAGGGTATTGGGTAGCATGCAGCAACATTCTTATCCTATTAGAGCAGACATTCAAACCTCATACTGGCATTGAAAGTTCTCTTGCTCTACTGGTAGTAAATGGAAATTCTAATGTTTGTAGTAACAGGCATGATACCTTGGCTATGAATTCTCTGGGGTCTCGTTGAAAGCTTTCTAGTTCTGTGGGCAGTGTGATCACTGACATAAAAACAGGGCTGCAAAGGAAGCAACGGGAGAAAATAGTTCTCTGAAAAGGCCAAGTCCTTCTATCTGTTTCACCTAAAAGTTCACTCATTGGCTTGGTGATGTGGCATAGCTTCAACAGAAATTGGGACTGGTGCCATGGTGCATATTTTGGCCTATAAATGTATCTGTGAGTTGAAACTGAGCCAATTACAAAAGAATCTGCCAGTCTTAGAAAGAATTAATGAGAAATAATGCAATACTTTTTCTGTTTTCTTAATGGTGTTCTCTTAAACTAAAAATACTAATACCTTTTCCCTTTCTCTCTTAGTCCCCCTTAGTATTTATTTACATTTTGAAGGTTAGATAAAATCAGAAAAGCATTTTTGAGTGAATCCACTTCCTATTCATACTTTGTTGGTATATATATTTGTGGTTTTTTTCACTTTTGAGGCCTAAAGATGAATAAGGACTGAAAATCTGAGGAAGAGCAAAATTTTATCTAGATATGTACCTCTTATCCCCTTTTGCTCAGGTTGCAAGGGGATGACATGGCACTGTGTTCATGAACAAGTTCAAGATGTGCCAGGGTTGATTTAGATTTCATGGCAGGAAAACTTTCTTCACAAACAACATTGTCAAGCACTGAAAAAGCTGCCTGAGGAAGTTGTGCAATCATTAGCCCTGGAGTTATTTAAAATATGTGTACATGTGGCACTTACGGACAGGGTTTATTGGTGAACTTGGCAGTGCTGAGTTAATGGCTGAACCTAATGTTCTTAGAGTTCTTTCCCAACCTAAAAGATTGTATGATTCTTTTTTTTACTGGATTTTAAAATCAGCCTTACTAGCCTTCACCTTCAGTAGTAATTTTCAAGGTACCCTGTAATCTTGAATTTATAAGCAGTTTCTGACATTGTTTCTGTGACACAACTTCATTTGGAACGGTCACAATCTTCCCTCATGTAGAGTTGTGGAAATGTCTGTTGCTTCCTTTAGTAGGGTAGTTGTTTTTCAAGGAGCTAGTTTTCCAAATTGCTGTTAAAATTAATTCACTTTAAGAGTGATTGGCTAAACTTTTAGCATTTTTCAGAAGAGAAAGAAACAAATGAAAGAAAAGCTAGATGGTACCATGACTCCAAAGACAGGACTTAAACTCCCCTTCTTGCACTTGTTTTGCACTTTAAAACTCTAAATCTAATGTAAAACTAGAAGAAACCATTACTTTGACTTCCAGGAGAAATAGTGAAACTGTAAATAAGATCCCTAGTCCACTGAACTAAGATCATCCACCATCTTGTGCCTAGCAGGAACCACATCTGCCCAAGTGGGAAAATAGACCATTTACTTAAGCACTAGAAACACTAAAACAAAACCCTGATTCCTGGATTTGTCATTTAAAAAGATTACAAGGAGATGCTGAACGAAGACTGTCAGGTGTATGAAATGCATAAGAAACTGATTCTCTGTGAGATCTGAGAGGAACTGTACACATATATTTCACCTAGTCCTACTTTACATCTTGCATCTAAATACAAAAATTCTGATGAGGTTGTGTATATAAATATAATCATAGATATATATATACTTTATATGAATAAGATATAGATGTCATATATAACATCATATTGAGAGAAATTGTTTAACAGAAAAATAATCTGCTTAAGTATATCTATTATTATAGTTAAAACCAGTGACATATCAACACTATGAACTAGCTAAATACATTCGTCTTTGGAGAGTGTGTCCAAATAAGTTTGAACGTTGTTGCTTTCCTTAATGGTGGCATGAACAACTGACTGCAAAAAGAGAAAGAAAAAAACTAAATGAGAATGTATACCAGTTTTTCCTACTGAATTCTGCTTCTCTTCCCTCCAGTGTACTTTCATTTTATCTATCACAAATCTGAATAATAGTTTTTCGTAACTGCTCTGTATTTTCATTTCCTCAATCTAATTTTCTCCATCCACAGGTAAAAATGAAAATTGTTTGTATTTTCCATCATATTTGTTATTCTGTTGCCAAGTTTCTATTGAGAAACATTTGCGATTTGTTTTATTCTGTTCAACACTCCTTTTCATGTACAGTTTCTGTAAAGGTGTTTTCTTTAATATTAATTTGCCTCTAATTTAATTTTCTTTCTTATTTTCTAAAAATTCCATCCTTTATTTGTAATGCATGTTGGTTCACTCAGTTTATAATATTTTACATCTTCTTGACCTCTTTGGTCTAATTCCCTCCCCCTTTTTTTTTTTTTTGGTACTCCCCATTGTCCTTTTACTGCCCTTTTCACCTCTTGATTTTTTCTCTTTTTAATTTCCAGGATGATTTCTTCAGCAGCTATGCTCTCTCAGTTACTCAGTTGCATACTCCCTCTATTTTTTTCTTCTTCCAGTACCCCTCCTGAGTGCTGCGTCCCCTGATGCTGCAGAAGGATACAAGGTCTTTCCTGTCTGTAAAAAACAGTTCTCTCCTGCCTGTGTTTTGAACTGGCAAGAGGACAGCTGCCTAAAGATGACATCATTCTTTAGTCCTCCAAGGAAAGTGGTGTGGAGATCCGTCAAAGAGCTGGCAGGTATCTTGTCTCCTTTACTCCAATGTTTTATCCATCGCCTTAGCAACAAGCATGGGAAGGAGCACACGGATTCCTGGCCAAGCCTGTTCTCTTCTTTTCCCTAAGTTTTCTTCAGCTTTCCTTAAGTTTATGTGTGCCCAGATAAGAATAAACCTAAACCTGGGGTTTCTTGTCTGCAGTTGAGCTCCATCTGAAGAAGTCTTCACTTTTCGCCCTATGTGCCCTTTGAGGTCTCAAGGTGATACTTCCCAGGAATTATTATACAGACACTGATTTTTGGAAAACTCCTGAGGAAGAAGGGGGAAAGGATTCCATTCTATGGATTGATTTATGGAAAAGAATGGATTCTGGAATGTTTATGATAGTTCTTTTCATAAAGTTGATACTAAGGATTTTAATATACAGCATTGGTTTTCTGACTTCCTATGAAATCTCAGGTTCCAGGTCTTGTAAGCAAAAATTTTCAGATAACTGCAGGAGTGGTGCCAACATGTGTGTAGGACAGACAGGGTCAACAGCAATAAAATAAATCACGGGAGACTTCCAGCAGAAGACAGATAATATGTAAAACAGATGTTCAGACCTCAAACAGGAGAGACGGTTAAACATGAGCTTAATTGTAGCATATTCTGAGATGAGTTTTCTGAACTATAGGCTCTGTAGGTACATATATGTACTGTATATCTCGTGTCAGAGGAACAAAAATCTAGATACTCAGTACTCCACAACTATATAAATAATACCAGTCAATATTGGAAGAGGCTTGGAGAATATACATATTGAATAGTTAAAATGAAGTATGCAATGATTGCAGTGACTATCCATTTAGTTTAGTTCTGAAAAATAAGAAAAAAAAGAAGGAAAAAAATAGTGAAGGAAAAAAAAAATCATTTAAATGTAGAAGGAATAGCAGAATGTCTGATTTCCTTCTTGAGCACTCACTCTATCTCTCCCTAAAAAGGGAGGATGAGTGAAGAGATTCTGGATAGATGAGTTGTTAAACATCCAGTGTTCAGTTTCTCTTTTGAAAGAAGACTTAGGTGGTATTTATGATTGGATGATGTGGGTACTTGTCGCTTACTATCCAATGGCAGGATAAGACCTCACAGTTACTAGTTTAGCAGTTCCATGTTTTATTCAGTGTTCTAAGAGATGAGATGGATACACCACTTCCCACTTATTTCCCACCTTGGCAACTATTTTCCAAAGTTCCAACGAATCAAGTAGGCAGAAGACATCAATTATTTTCTATGTTACCAGCCTTGATAGAATTTTCCTTCCCTAAAATACGTAGGAGGTATTGTTGACTTTTTATGTTTGGGGTTTTTTTTGTTGGTTCTTTTTATATTAATCTTGTTTGGTTGTTTATTGCTCGTGAATTTTTCCCAGCCTGGCCTACCTTTTGTGCTTTTGGCATGTCGGTGTGGCGCTGGGCACGTACGGACCGTGCGGATTTAGGCGGCTTTATTGGAGCACAATACATCTCCAGCCTTCTCAGGTCACAACTCTGGAAGCAGCATTCATCCACTATTCCCTTGTGGTGTAAACGTCTACTGCTGGATCCATACCCCGTGGGCTTACCTATTCAAAACACAAAGGGAAAGTTTTTATGTTAGAAAGGAAATGCAAAGATCTCAGGAGCAGTCATATTATTAACATGTATTATGCTAGTTGAATCACCAATGACCATTGTAGAGGCTGCCTGTGTGTATCTATTCTGACCCTGTTCTCAGATACACCTTTGAATATTCCTTTCCAGATATTCCTGGAAATGGACAGCTTTGATCTATGTCTATGTGTGGTCGCTATTTAAGCATTTGAACATATCTATGCCTTCTTAGAAAAGTATTATTAAAATATTTTCTTGAACTGCATTAGCCTGAAATGAAGAGAGAGGAAGCTGAAATTTGACGTTTAGAAACCCTACAAAGGAAATTTGCCTTTTAGCTTTTGTATGAAAACTGATGGTTGAGACGACTGAGGTAGCTGGTGTGTAAAACCCATAGATCACTACCGTGTTGTAGACAAGTATTTCCTAATAAAAAGGGATAGACCGAGGTACTGTGTGAACTCAGAGTGTGTTCCAAAAGTCAAATAAATACTGTGTATCACTGCAAAGGCTGTAAGATCTGCAAGCTCAAAAGTGGGAAGCAGGAATCAAAGTAACAAAGTAACCAATGAAATAGGAAGGTTGGTGGAACGGATAAAAGTGGAAGATTTTTACAGTCCGTAGATTTGCACAAGATAAGAAATGGGACTGATACAGTGTGGCTTTCCTGTGCTTTGCATATGTACCAGCCATCTATGGAAAATACTTAACTGGCAAATATTTTGCATTTTTCACTCAGCTCCAGTGAAGGCCAACATACTCATTCATGCAACTCTTACACACTTGTATTTTTGTCTTTTTTCCCCCTTGTGGTTTATGATTTCCTTATTAACTGTGGAATTCTCTGCTGTCCCACACAGAGATTAAAGGCCCATTGTTTCCTGGGATTGTTTGTACATGACCAAGTCAGATGTGCAGTTGCCCTGTTATGACTAACTAGAAATGAAGGAACAGTAAACTCCCAAAAAGTAAGTACTTGCTTACTCACTAAATCTTAAAATTCTGGTAGAATTTGATTTTAGACAGTAAAATTCTGAAAAGATTAAGTGTTTTGTTTTGACATTTTCAGCATTAAATGTTTCCATTTACAGAATGATCCACATTGGTTAAGAACTGAAAAATATGGAAAAAAAAGACAAGCGTGCCAAGAGCCAAAAAATGAAGTAACTCAATTCAGTCAGCTCTACCAATTTCTTTTCTTGCCTTTTTTTTTTTTTTTCTTTTCTCCTTCACAGAATTTGGCAGGAGTTTACATTTTAAGAATTACTCAAGTTAAATAAGGGATACGGATATCAAAAAAGATGAATATTCAGTTTTTCTTTGGGAAATTATTGCCCCAAATACCTATATAGCAAAGTTCAGGCTGATATGCATGTGTTTGTCAGCAGTTGTCAATTTGAAGAGACAGCACTACATAATCCCTGTGATTAAAACATGTATCTACTGATGAAGAACCCTTGAGGCCTTAGAACATTGGTAAATGAAAAGACCTCTAGTCTACCCCTATGAACTTTGTAAATGCAGAAAAAAGGGTTTTATTAATATGTCTTTTTTTTTTTCCCCCCCCAGGGACTATAAATTGTACAAAAAGAAAAACATGCTTACTTAGTATATTGCAATCCACTTGGGGCCTCTATATTGTACATTGCCTGCTAAATTATTTGTTTCATTAGACTAAACAGTACAGCAAGCCAGGAGTAGATTACAGTAATATTTTGGTTTGTCTGTGTGTGTTGTTTTATGTGTATCACTGAAAAGTATTACAAATACTAAAATGTAGAGTTTGGTTTGTTTGGGTTCTTTTTCCCCAGACTATTTTCCCTCACTGAGTTATAATATGAAATGTTTTTCCTTGGAGATTTTTCCTAAAATTTGTTAATCTGTTTTTTTTAGCCTAATACTTTTAAAATTTAGTAGTTCTAATAAAGTGTGGAGTGTCATTACTTTGCTGTATACCCACAGCTGTGCCACATTTTTTTCTTGCTCCCATTTAAAGCATGGATAGGAAAATCCTGTTCCTGGTTATGCAGGTGTAACCCTTCTTAAAAGATCCAGCTGAAAGGAAAGAACTGATTGGTTAAACCGTTTCTTTTATCAGTTTGTCAATTTTTCATAAACAAGCATACCCTAAAAGCTTCTGTTCATTTTACCCTTCAGTGTCTAAATTTAATCATTTATAAAGTTAATAAATCACCTTTACTAACCTGTGTCTGCTGGCTGCTTTTATTCAGTAATCAGAAGCAAAATTTTTCCACACTATCATAAATATGCATAAATAATTAATACAAATCCTGAATCCTGGAATCTTTCTGGTGAAAATCTCCGAGTACTTCAAAATAATTTTTAATATTGCCAGACCACAGATACCTAGGTGATATTTTTCTTTTTTACAGAATAATAATTTTATAAAGGATTATATAATGCCTAATAGCTCTTTAAAAAGCCTGTGTGGTACATGTAACAAGACGGGAATGGAATCTATCACATCAGTGATGGTGTGAGCTGTGAAACGTGACATTAGCTTATTTGTAGGCCTAAATATTTGTGCATCACATGGCACAATAAATGCTCATCTTTTATATAAATATATTTATAAACATAAGTAAATAAATATTTAAATAGGATTTATATAAATCCTATATATATCTGTATATAAAGGTAACATTAGTATTGAGAAGTCATAATATTTCTGTCAAGAAATGTTTTCCCAAGGCTTTCAAAAGGCCTAAGCAATCAAGTATACTTGAAATTTGTTTGATGTAGAAAGTGATATTGCCTAAAGTGCTGTACAATGGAGACAGAAAATTAACAGGAAAAAAATACGCTGTTTTCAGTAATCATGATGCACAATCATGATTAAGAAGTATCTGATGACTAAAGTAATTTTAAAGCAATAGATTTTAAATTGCTGCTGACCTCTTAAGTGCTGAAGTATATAAAGATGCTATCACAGAGAAAGATGAGATAAAGAATTACAAGGAGATACCACCACTTCTACAGATGTTATCACTGTTTGGCCCATCTGTTCTGGCAGGACTGCAGGATCAGATGGTCCCAGTTCATCAAGTTACCAAAGTATTCACTTAGATCTAGGCAAGTGTTCAAGCTCCTACGTGGTGTGTTGGATTAAATCACATATCAAACAGTGAGCACACGCCTGAGTGCTCTCCTACATAGGGACTGATGCAGCTAAGCACTTCAGTTACTTTCTGGACAATAATCTATATTGGTAAATAAATGGCTGGTGGTTCTACATTTCTAATATAATTTCTCCTCCTGATTTTTGTTTTCATAGTATTGCTTTCAGTATGGACTGTACCTTCTGTGTCACTACACTGGGAACCCATATAGTTATTTCTCATATTTCTGGCATAGTTTGAGTTCTGCCTTCCAGCTGTTATCAAAAGTTTCTTATATTTATTCAACCTTCACAATTCTGCCTGTGGACATACAACAGTCCTAGGCATTCCTTTTTGCTGATGTACACTCATTTCCTTGGAGGTTTCTTTCATTTTCTGTCAATTGGTAGCTCAAAATAATTTTATATCATATAGGTAAAAGTTTACTTAATAGAATATTTGGCTCTTATTTAATCTACTTTATCAGACCTATGGATGTTTCAGTGTGTGACAAGCAGATACAAAGTCTAGTGACAGTGATGTCCCCTGAAAGCAGTCCAAGGTGTAGGATCCCAGTAGTTAAACAGCTGGCTTCTGCCCTAACAGTACTTCTCTTTAAATAATGCAGTCAGTGGAGTAATTCAGCAGGACTTGTTTACACTTGGTTTCCTTCTGTTCTTCCTCATCCCTCTAAAATATCCTACTGTTGCTGCCACTGGTTCTGCTCTACCAATGGTTTCAATGTGAAAAGCACTGATGTAAGACTACAGAAGTCTCAAATGTCAGGTTATCTAGGCATTCTTTGTAGAATCATGATCTACTGTTGTATATTAAAATTAGAAATTACATGAGAAACAGCCCAGGATAAAAGCAAAACTAATCTACTCTAGTACTGTAGGAAAGACCTGGGGTTATGTGTCCTGGAACTTTTATGTGACTCCTTCTATTTGATGTTTTATCTTTTTTAACCAAGAAGTAGAACTCAAGAGTGCCATGTAGACTGTAATTCAGAAATATGCCATTAATCTGAAAAACAGTGGACTTAATCCTAATCTATTATTAGAGTCAATCTGCAGCTGCAGCTTTTACAGTATGGTGAAAGGCCATTGACCTACTAGAGTGCTGTAGTCTTTTAGCAAGAAACTCAAAATGTTTCCATCAAAACATCAGGGTAAGGTACAATTTGGAAGCATTGACAGCAGTTTACAGTATCAGGATGTATGGGAGCATCCTGTAAGGCAGCAGGTCAGTCAGACAGGATTTTCCTGTGGCCTGAACAACAGGCTGAGAGTTTGTGGTGCAGTATTACAGAACAGTAATTGAACAAGCACATCCTGTGTTCTAGATCCAGACTTGGAGCTGGTAGTTGGGGAGGTTTTGAGTTGCATGTGCTATGTGCCTTATGATGGCACAGAAGGCTAGGGATGCTGAGTTTGAGATTCATCTTGCTCATCTCTGGTCTCTGAAAATTAGGGATCTAGTTTAAGACAGTGAAGTCAACAGGCAGGTGTGTATGGAGAGAGAATTATTCCTGGATTGAATGCTTTGCTTAAAATTAAATTTATTCTTGTCCTCTGAAGGAAACAATGTTCTTTCATCAACTATAGATAAAGCTAATTGATCTAATCTTAGCATACATGCACAACTTCTTCTAGGAAACTGAACCCAAGGAAAATGAATGAAATTAAAAATTATTTGTCCTAAATCACAGAATATATGCACCTGGTGTAGTACAAAGCTATTTCACTTTGATTTCCAATTTAACAATTAAATATTATGCCAAGTTGTTCTAAAGAAAATGCCAGCCAGTGTGCTGTTTAATTATGAATCTCTGTACCGCTTTGACTACCTTC